CCTGCAAGTCAAGAGGCTATTTTTTCATACGGTTATCCCTTCCACAGTGTTTAACTTATGTCCTTATTGTGCATGTAGACCCTTGGCCGCGTTGTTGGGCATCAATCACGTCACCAGCCAGTTAACCGGGACGTCTAAGTCGGGCTCCCGTCTGCGGTATTTCCCGCCGAATTTTCTCCAGCCTAAGGCGGCATCTTTGACTTATCGTTATTTGGGATACGTACGTATGCATAAAAAAGTAAAGGATTTGTGACACTTGCGGCCCCCGCTAATTAGAGTAACTTTGACCGTATTGGTGACCCTTGTAACCAATTATCTTTTATCGCGAAGATTGCTTCAGGTATAATTCTCACAAACAACGTCCATTTACTTAGCACCCAATTTCTATCGAACTGCTTGTTATAGTGTCGCCGGATAGGCATACCGATATTCACCTGTTTCTAGTTACGAGACGAGTAGTAGTTGCATTGTGAAGGGTTAGGACATGGTAAAGACATTCACCCGTGTCTGCTTGTATACTTGGAAAGCACACATGGTTCATTCCTATTATTTACTGTATCATTACATTGGTTGCCCGTTCCTCGTTTATGTATCGTGTAGATTATTTCTTGCATCTAAATACATCGGTCATCAAAGGCTCGTCCCAATAATGAACGAGCTTTTGAATCGGGAGTACAGCTTACACCTAATTGATGGTAAACTCCTGACCGTAGCTGCTACATTTGCGTGGTGGTCGGGCTTGCCTATCGAGATGACCCAACCGAGCTATATTTACTGGAACATATTCCTGAAGGTTCTATCATGACAGGCAGATCGATTGGAGAACGATGAGACTAAAAGCAGATACTCAAGGTCTAAGGGCGAAGTCGTACTGCTGACTTCAGTGCAGATAGAGACACAACAAGGTTTACGCTTCGCGTTTCTAGAAGCCCTGATGCCGCCAGGGCCTAGCCGGCGTAGGTACTGTATCAAGTCCTAGGGCGGAACAAGCTCTCTTAAACTGGATCTCGATAGACTGACTTGTGCGCTGTCCGACTAAACGGACTCGGAAAAATAGGAACACTCGCAGCTGCCTCTTCGTCGTATCTACCTACGGTCCACCGACTGCAGTTCAGACGACATGAAAGATAAGTTTTATAGAAACCTCTCTAAACTTCTCCAAAGTGTTAGGCGCTCTGATATAGTAATAATGGGTGGTGACTTTAAACGCTCAAGTAGGTAGATTCAGCGAAAACTAAAGACACCTAGGTGGATCTTATGGTGTCGCGACTCAGAGAACAAATAATGGCGACCGTCTGTTGTAACTATGCTCAGGTAACTACCTATTCCTAGCAAACACCAAGTTTAAGCATAAGGTAAAACACCTCTTGACCTGCCGACCCAACTAGATCACATTAGTGGAGAGGCTCTGTTGAGGACTGTTGTTCATTCCGGAGCACTTGTTTAGATTGAGACCATGCTCTAGTGCCAGCGCGTATTTGTTTGCGCCTTACTGGACGCAAGGACACCTCTTAGGGGTCTACTTAATGATAACAAAGCTAAGAATATATCTCAGGAACAACTAGGCAGCCATGTAGTAAGTGATCGAATGATATCAAAAAGGCTGTGGGAAAAGCAGTGATATCTTCTAGTAAAGTAAACCATAAGATTAGGGAGAAACCATAGGTTTCAGTAGCATCTACTGAACTGATGGATACTCGAAAGCTCACGCCTCCTGGCTCTGAGTACGATGAGGAGCGGAGTCAGCTCAGGCCCAAGCTGATAAAAAGCCTTCGCAATGATCGAGAACAGTGGTGGGTGGCGAAAGTAGGGGAGATGGAAAAGGCAACTAATCAGATTCATGAAGGAAACCGAATGTGAGTGAAACTACCTCGGTAAAGGATAGTCTTATTATTCATTCTCAATCCAGGAGATTGGATCGATGGGCAGCACACTTCGTTTGCCCACAATCTCCAGTCATCCTGAATGGAAACCGATATAAGTCGTACGAATCTTTATGAAGTCGAGAAATCTGAAGCGAGAGAGAGCTGCAGGACCCGATAGATTGATTCCTGAGATTTTCAAGGACAGTGACCCAGTTTTGGCAGTTGAATTGACTGAGGTCTCAGGTAGAATGTGGGAACTAGACACAATCCGATCCGACTGGTCTCAATCCCTGACTGTCCAAAATATATAAAGACAAAAGTCTTCTTGTGACAATCACAGCGGAATCAGTCTAACTAATATAGTTTCGATAATCCTTAGATGCCTAACTAGTGCTCGTGAACAGCAGACTGCAGAAAACCATGCTGGTTTCAGACCCGGACGTGGCTGTAGGATTTTATGTTAAAACACCTAGTCTCTATATATATGGATAGGGCAGAAGCAAAAATAGGTACGGTACACCTACACCAGTAAGAAGGGGCGACTAAACCTGTATCCCACGTTGGAATTTCAGAGCTGGTTCGTCACGTACAAAGCAACCACATGATAAAGGAAAATGATCGTCGTGCAACGATTGCTGTGCTCCAACAGTTAAGTTCTGTGTTCGAGGGAAGTATTTCCGGAAATCGTACGAATAGTTCCTTCATCGTCCCCCTGAGCGTTACCTATTGTTCTTGTGAATAAAGATTCCTCCCTCCGACTTTGTGTAGACTACCGACGCCTTAATGCCATAACTAAACGGGATTCTTTTCCACTTCCGTGCATTGATGCTACACAGGACGCCTTAAAAGGCGCTTGTTGGTTCTCCACCTTAGATCTAGCATCTGGTTACTGGCAAGTGGAAGTTCGGCCGTAGGATAGGAAGAAAATGCATTCATGGTACCAAATGGTTTGTATGAATTCCAGATAATGCCTTTCGGTTTAGCGAATGCTCCGGCTAATTTTCAAAGACTGATGCAAACAGTATTACAAGATATAGCGCCCCACAAATGTTTGATTTACCTTGATGACGTTATTGTATACGGTAGCACACCCGAACAACACAATGCTAACCTGAAAGCTGTTCTGCAGCGTCTTAGACAACATAACCTAAAAGTAAAACCACCCAAATGCCGTCTGCTGCAGAAGGAAGCAGCCTTCTTAGGACATCGTGTCACCGCAGATGGTGTGGGTGCAGATAATGGAAAGACGCGTGCTATTGTTACCTGGCCGCAACCAAAAACACCTGAAGACTCCGTAGTTTCCTGGGTTTCGCGTCTTATTACCTTTGCACAGACTGACACATAAGGGACGGAAACTGCTATGGACCAGCGAGTGTCAACAGGCATTTGATACGTTAAAGGCACAGTTAGCCTCACCACCTATATTAGCCTTTCCCAACACCTCAGCAGACGGAGGTGAGTTCATACTCGATACGGATGCTAGTTCCTCAGCTATCGGAGCAGTTCTATCACAAGTAGCTCGAGATGGCCAGGAGAGAGTCATTGCGTACGCCAGCCGACGACTAGACAAGAGCGAAGCACGGTATTGCACAACACGTCAAGAAGAGCTAGTAAAATTCTTACAGCACTTCCATCATTATCTACTTGATAGACCTTTTCGTGTGCAGACGGATCACCGTGCATTACAGTGGCTTCGTTCTTTCCGCGAACCAGAAGGACAAGTAGCACGCTGGCAGGAACGGTTGCAAGAATCTGACTTCACATGCGAGTACCGTCCGGGGGATAGACATACCAATGCAGATGCTCTCTCTCGCTTGCCTCTGTCCACAGATACCGTTGCTGCAGTTCTTAGTACGGTGACATTTGACTCTGTGGATCGCCAGGTTCTGTGGCAGTGTTTGTCATTGAAAGGTGTACCGGGGAAGTACATTAACCTTATACAAGCTCTCTACTCGAACACTACATGTCGAGTGCGAGCTTATGGAGAACTGTCATCAGAATTCTCTAATTCGAGTGGTGTACGTCAAGGCTGTCCACTTTCTCCATTCTTGTTCAATTTTTTCGTAGACTTACTGCCAGAAATAACATTATCTCCGTTTGAATTTTCAGTAGACACCTTCTACCAGAAGACAAGCTTGCTGACTCAGGCTATATTGATGACATAGTTCTGTTCAGTGAAGACGCTGACAAAATGCAGTCTTTTGACTACCCTAAGCAACAATGCAAGCATGTTCGGGATGCGGTTCTCACCCTCGAAATGCAAAATGTTGCTTCAAGATTGGGTTGCATCGGTACCTGAACTAGTGATTGGGTATGAAGTAGTAGAACGTGTAGACCGCTTCACTTATCTGGGGAGTCTCAGTAATATCAACGACAGTGAAGTTCTACGGTTCCGAAATCATAGAATATATATTGGGATGGAGAGTTCACGCGCTCCATCTATTTATGATGCATCCTGAACTAAATGATTTTTTTAACATGTGTCAGCATTGATACGTAACTTTCATTTAGTAATGCCAAACCTCATATCTTATTCCTATGTATGCGATGTCTTTTGATGTTTGACTGCTTTTCTTATAATCACAAACTAAGGTGTATTTTAGGTATCAACAGCGATATCTCCCTAGTAGATCTCTTAAACAATTCGTCAGACATCACTCGACATGTCTCATTTAAAGAAAAGCTATTTGCTCATGCCGTAGAGACAGAAACTTGTTACGTAACCGATTTCGCTAACAGTACAGTTGCTTTAATACCCTTACAAAGAGTGGTTACACTGCACTCACTAAGCACTCCACAATCTTTGCTGCTATCATATGACAAACCAGCAGTACATTTTGTACAAAACGGAGGTTCTTTTCTGTTATACTTTCACGGGCTGATTGCATTTGTAAAACACCAGTTATAAATATCCAGATTCACTTAATCACTATGGTCGTAAACGTTAAACTGGAAATGTTGAATATTTCGAAACTTTTGTGACTATTTCAAAGACTACCAGTTTTACTCTTATTGTACACTCGTTAGGTTATTGCATTTCTATATTCCGTGTATTGTAAGCTTTTTTGGACCCTATAACATTTTATACAGACGTGCATCTGACTTGCAGTACTAACGCTCAATGATGAAAAAGAGCTCCTTTCTATTTGATAAAAGATTAGCTTTGATTTCGACGAAACTACCTACAATTAACGGTTGATTCTGCAGTAAATTGAAAGAACAGAAATAAAATCGGATGTATATGTATATATAAGTTCACAGAGCAGTTGGTAAATTATTACTAGGTGATTGCCGATGTTGTTCCCACGCTTTCAGATGACTCGGACTGATGACTTAGCTGCTGCTTCAACATTTGATCTCGGGAGGCGGTTTTCTTGCCTCTTGTAATAGCTTCAGCAAATAATGCACAAAACAGACGTACAGATGTAGGGCTATCATCGTTACCAGGAACAGGATAGCTAATTAATCTGGGGTCTGAATTTGTATCAACTACACCAATAGTGGGGATGAGCATCTTTGCCGCATCTCGTACAGCAGAGTGTGGTCTGGAGATTGAATTACAGGTACTGAGAAAAAGAACTAGGTCAGGTAGTCTCACAGAATCGTAAAAAACATCCGATGCATTTGTAAATACTCCACCTTCCCATTTGCGGCAATAAGAGTACTCACCGACAGTTTCAGCAGTTCTTTCAACTAAAGGCAACATCTAGAAATGAAATAATAAAGTAGGTGTGGATTAAAATGAATAGTTATTTATCAGATTGTTTCGAAGTATGCTGTGTTGCTTAAATTACGGGTAAATATTAGTGGAGAATTAGGTCAGTTGTGGAGATACATAATGGTCCAAGTTTCCAAAAGTTACATTAAAACACAAAGATGGATATGGCGGAAACTGAAAAGTGATGACCTACAAAAAATCGAAGGTGTAGAATAGTACCATATTGAGCAAAAGACACTCTTTAACTTTTTGAGTATAATCACTCAAATTATTCAGCTTAAGAGTCGCTTGATTTGTGCAACAATCGTTTATTTTTCATTTATTTACAAAGATGAAGCAACCGTGCACAACGTGGGATTCGACAGGAGCATAGGTCGCTTAGATTTGCTACACTTTAAGTCAAGTTGTCGACGCCTTGGTATGGTTAAGAGTGAGGAGAGTCTGTTCTCTCAAAATGCTCTCCTATAGCCATGAGTATATAGCCACTGCTAAAGAAGTCCTATTCACTGCATTCTCGTGACACAAGTGTTGTTTACTAAATCGAGAGAAGTCTGTGTTAGGTGTTACAATTGGATTGGTGGGTAGGGGGCTTGGAAAACCGTGATTCCAAACCAATGGTGCTCATGGGTCCTGTTAGAACAAATTCCATATAAACCTGTTGTTGGTCACTAGCTACCATATGACTGCAACTCCTGGCTTGTTCCACTACCTTATGGACTAGGTCTCTGGGCCATAAGCTTGGCGGGTGACTCCCTAAGGAAACCAAATGCCTCGGTTCGGGCACACGGACAGTATCGTAGACCACACATAATAACTGACGACTATAACCAGAAGATTTTATGCTCACTTCGACCCTCACTCCCGACGGCACTGTTAATCTGACTTCGCCTTCAGACCTTAGGTTTTCTGCTCTTAGTCTAATTACTTTCTGATTGACTTATAGAGCTTCCAGAGACAAGTGTTCCAGCCACTGTCGTTTGGTTCGCTAGTCACAATATACATGCCAAGCTATTGCATCAAAGTAATACCTGCGGTCAGGTAAAGGAAATCAGTAACTTTATCATTAGAAATGGCACATTGCTTCTTTATATTTAACCACATACTCGACCATTCAAGCTACACTGCTCATCTGACAATATGATCTTAAATTATTATTTGTTTATAAATACAGCTGACGAGAGAAACAACAATAATTATTTGTCTATCTATTTCAACGAAAAATTATTTTAACTGATAACTAAAAGCTCAATTGCAAACGATGAATTAATTTGCTTACTTGTTTATTTTGGTACATGAAAAGGATTATTCCTTGACGGTAAGAAATGTGAGCAGCAAAATTTAGTGCATCAAACAACAAGGAACATGTTTGCTCTATATCGATTATATCTATTCCCTGTCTACAACCGTATATATATGGCTTCATGTATTCATTGCGCAACACCGATCGGTGACCCAAATGAACACGAGCTTGGAACAAATCCGTTATGCTAACTAAGCTTTTAAGACCAAAATAATCAGGACAATTTAAGGGATTTCCGATATAACTGGAATGTGAACATGTGCTTTCCTTGAGTTTCTCAGATTCACTTGTAGTTGCATTCCTCCTGAGAAACAGAAGTGTTTCTAAAACAGCAATAATGTGCCATCATAATATATAATAACATTCTGAATAAAAGCAACAAAATGATCAACACTGTATGACTAGAGAATATCGAAATTCAAAGACGATGATACAGATGGGTACATGTAGCATATATTATAGCCATCTCATACAATGAAGAACCAGTCTGTATTTACTCAGTACCCTATGTCTTTCCTCAGGGCTACTTATTCGGCTACTGCATTAAACACTAATAATGCTTTGAAAAAGTCTGGCTGAATACTATTTATTCCATGTTACATAGCGATCAACTGAAAGAAAGTGCTTACATGTAGTTTACTCGGCGTTTTGTGGACAGATGGACATCTAAGTTATGGGTAAAATAAATTAGCGAAAGTCAAACGAACTTTTGAGTTTGAACGACATCTCATCGCCACCGGGGTTAAGATAAGTGTAATCATTACTAAGTTCAACTTCTTCACATCCTATGGTCAGATTAGGAATCGGTACACACCAGTTCTAAAGAAAAATTTCGCCTTTAGAAGGAAAGAAATATATCACATGGATTACCACACGTTTATTGAGAGCATTCAAAAGACTATTCCGCTGATGTCTTCACCAAACAGGAGTATGTTACGTTTACTCTGTTCACTGAGTATCTTCAAGTAGGAAATCAAGTGTTGAAAAATAAAACGAAGTAGAATGTTACTTGCAGGTACATAATGGCAAAATTTAATAAAGGTGGACATTGCGGAATATAGTAAATTGAACTAGCAGTTCACCGTAAACTCTGAAGTGAGTAACAAATTGTCAGGCTAACATGTCTTTTTGGTACACCTAATGATAAGAAAAAACTGTTGTAAGAGTCCAGGGAACCGTTACTTTCCGATTCAACAATTGGTTGTAATAAGGAGTCTGACACATACATCAACCCAAATTACTACATTATATCAGTACAAGGTGAGTATCAAAGATGTAGAAATGGTAGTGGTAGTATTAGTGATATTTAAAAAGTATTAGTCATAAGAAATCTAATTTTATCCTCAGACTGAATACCTGCATCCTAAAATTATCGACTGGTAAAGATCCTGTCAATATAGAGACGCTCATCTTTACGGCCTATTTGTTTTATGAGCTTTATTTATGAGTAAATAAGTGTCAAAAGCATACTTTAGACACCTTACTAGTTAAAATGATTTGTTTTCGGTTATAAAAAAGGAACTTTGTTCTTTTTTAAAGACGAGAACAAGCAGCGTTTATAACCAGTTCGGTGAAACAACTTTCAGTTCTAAGGTCTGACTTTTATTTACTTATTTAACTCATATAAATAACTCTGCTGGAGACCACCTAAGGTCATTTACAGTCGCGAAACCGGGTACATGAGTGTTGGGAAATAGGATGGTAACCCCACCCCACATTTTAAAAATATACGACGCCCGTGGTAAGACCAAGATTTTTTGGAATACAATAGGCCTAGGCCGCTTGTGATAAACAGTGGAATGTGAGAATGATGTAAGAGTCCGAAAGGGAGACTGAAACAGCAGCGGATAGCAGAAAATATGAACTAACCGTGTTTGAAACTAGTGAGACATATTGGACACAATCTGAACGGAAAAGATTTGAAGACAGCTGTTATTACATTTCGATCATCAAAAATAAAATACCCCATACACAAAGGAGTTGCATTAATGCTGTTTAAGGAAGCACGAAACGCACCTTTAGGATGAGAAAATCACGGCTCGAGGGTCATTAAACCATCCTTCAAAGCAAAAAAGGGAAAGATAAAAGTGGATGTGATTCAATGTTCCACATGTACCAACAACAGTACTGAGGGTGATAAAGACCAGTTATGTGAAATCTTGCAAACCATTCTACAGAAATGCCTAGGAAAACACCTTACCATCTTGATAGGGGACCTAAACGCCAAATCCAGGGTGGACAATATCGAGTATGAACGAGTAATGAGGTAACATTGACTGGCAGAAAGAAACAAGAATGGAGAGAGATTAGTAAATCTGTGTGTTTTCAAAATGGACATAATAAGTAGCATTTCCCCTACAAATACATACACAAAACTACATTGGTTTTTTACCAGACTAAACAGCAGAAACTCAGATAGACCAAATCTTTATAGATAAAATATTTAGAAAGTTCATAGATGTTAAAACGAAGAGATATGATATGACTTCAAGTCATCATCTGGTGCTGACCAAGATAAAACTGAAGATAAAGAAGTACTAGATAATTTAGTAAGCAGTAATAAAAAAATGTAATACAGCCTTCTTTCAAGATGCTAACAAGCTTAATGAGTACAAGACTACTAACACAAGATCTACTAGGAGAGGAAATCACTATGGAGAGCAATTGTAAGATAAATCAAGAAGCAATAACTATAACACGATATTTCGCCAGAAGAAGCACCAGAACGAAGAATGAGCTTTGTAAACAGACTGAACAAAATTGAAGGGGGAAAAAGAAGAGAATAACAGTCAAACAACAACAAAGGGTCGAGGCACAAGTTGAGTACATAGTATCAAACAAACGAGTAAGAAAGTTAAAAATCGGGAATTCGCACAAAAAGTACGGATCACAGATTTATTCCCAATGAGAAGTGGTATAAGACACGGTTGTTACTCTCACTTTTTCTCCTACTGATAGCTGTTAACCGCAACACATGAAGCATATTAAGACCAACATAAGTATGCGTCACAAATAATGAAATGGAATTGCGAAAGGGTCAATGCGATAGAGCGAAACAGGCTATGTCCTCAACCTCCAGTTCTTACCATTCCATAACCAGGTGGATGACCACATTTGGATCCTAGATAGATTAATTCCACGAGAACATAAAGTGGACCCTGTAGTTCGGTATAACTCAGAGTTTGAACATTCAGGTTTGTACCTCAAAATCAATTGTGTCTAAAACTAAATCAAGTTATGCGAATGAAACAAGTTACTTAATGTCATATAAACGCCCTTTCTGTTGCACCATAACACAAAAGAAACAGCCAGTCAGTGATGGCAAACTGGGAAGTGGCAATTTCGTGTCGACAAATGAAAACGCATAGTACGTCTATCAATAAGCTAAGCTTAGTAACGTACCACCTTCCATAGAAAGGTTTTGCCGATATTATTGCACAGTGGAAAAGTGTTCCTCAAAAAATATTACGGTGGAATTCCATGAGGTTTAAAGTTGAAACATTTCTTGGGTTATTTATCAAATTGATCCTACTTAACTGGTTTACTTCGAATAGTTAAGCCATATATCAGAAAATTTTTAAGGATGACGGGAGTTCAAACATCTTGAATAGTTAGTTAAGTAGTAACAGTCCTACACAAGTACTGTATGGAGCGGAAACATGGAGAACTACCAAAGCCATCATCCAGAAGATACAAGTATTTATTAACAGTTGTCTACGCAAAATACTTCATATTCGTTGGCCAGACACCATCAGCAACAACGAACTGTGGGAGAGAACAAGTTAGACTCCAGTGGAAGAGGAAATCAGGAAGAAGTGGTGGAAGTGGATAGAACACACATTGCGCAAAGCACCTAACTGCCTCACAAGACAAGCCCTCACATGGAACCCTCAAGGCAAAAGGAAAAGAGGAAGGCCAAGGAACACACTACGCCGAGAAATAGAGAAAGATATGAGAGGAATGAACAAACATTGGACAGAACTGGAGAGGGAAGCCCAGGACAGAGTTGGTTGGAGAAAACTGGTGAGCGGCCTATGCTCCATTAGGGGTAACAGGCGTAAGTAAGTAAGTAAGTAAGTAAGTAAGTCCTACACAAGTCGTAAAAAATGTAATGATATGACACCGGAATTATTACGATTCAGAAATCCTGATATTCGCTAAGAAAATACATTCAAGTATTTTGGCTTAAGTTGTGAGCGAACTGCGGCGGAAGGTTACTGTGATTACCTTATACAGAGAAATTGTTTGATTAAACCACAAATGTTCTAGATAAGTGTGTACTATCCATACAATCATTTTCCAAACCTTTTACTTCGTTTTCTATGAAAGAGTTTTTAGGCTCAAATACGTAATCCCAAACTGAGTAAATGACTCAGCAGACTTAAGAAGTTTCAAAACCTAGTTTAGGTAACAGTATGAAATCAAAATCGCCCATATATTTAAAGATGAGAACATCGACGTCTGATATCTATTTCATCTGCCCATGGATCCAGTGTGCATTCTCAAAGTTACATGAACTTATTAGATCCTCATAGATCCCAGTAAACCTATGGTGGACTACGACCAAGTAAATTATTTTAGTGCATAAAAAAGTTTAATAGACCTGTTGGAACACGAGAAACAAATGAATAAACAGAAAACGTATACATTTCGAACATTTATATTCAGACTATTTATGCCTGTCAATCGAAGAAACTAATGAGTATTGGTAACCTTTAAGAAAGTGAAATGATATCTTTTAATAAAAATAAGCGCCGGTAAGAAAACTTTCGATAAAGAGTATGAAAAACTGACGTACTACGGAAGCTCTTCAAAAGCGTTTTAGAGAGCATTTCACTGTAAGCAGAATCAGCTTATGTTATTAGGTATTCAACAAGGAACCAAAGTATGAGGTTTTGAGCCCAGGAGTGAGAAATCTAAGAAGCAGAAAAGAAATAAAACCAGTAAGGGATTCGGTCAGTAAGCAAGATTCAAAACAAATTATATTCGAAGCATTGAATGACACAACTATTTTACTTACCTACTTGCTAAAGCATGTTACCCCTAATGGAGCATGGGACGCCGACCAGCATTCGCCAACCTTCTTAGTCCTGTCCCTACCTTTCCAGTTTCACCTAATCGCAATTCATTCTTTTGATGTCTGCTTCCAATTCTCAGAGTAATGCGTTTCTCGGTCTTTTCCTTTGACCCTGAGGATCTCAAATCACGGCTTGCCTTGTGACGCGATTGGGTGCTACCGGCAATCTGTGTCCTATCCACCTCCAGAGCCTTCTAATTTCTCCCTCAAGTAAAAGCTGGTTCATCCTCCGATACAGTAGTCTGTTTCTGTTTCTTTCGGACAATAGCTTTCGTAGTTCTCCAAGTTTCCGCTCCATACAATAGAAATGTCTTGAAGTTTGTATTGAAAACTCTGACTTTGGTGTTGGATGACAGTTCTTTCCAGTCCCCGATTGTAGAGATGTTGCCCTCAATTTGCTAATCCGTGTCTTCACATCTGCATCAAATCTACCTTCTTTATTAATGATGCCCAGGTATGTAAAGACACCCACATCTTCTAAAGCTTCTCCGTCAAGTGCCGTTTGGTTAGTAAATGCTGTGTTATGTCGGAGGGTTTTGCTTTGCCCTTGTGTATGTTGAGACGTACTGCTACAGAAGCTGCTGTTGAACTGGTTGTCTTCATCTTCATTTGTTGTTACGTGTGGAACAGAAGAGCCAGATCATCTGAGAGGACCGAATCGTCTGCTGCATTCGAACTGTCCACTATATCCCATGCGTCACCGAAGATGTTGACGTCTTCATAGTCTAGCCAATCATCAGGATAGAGAGAAAAGGTGAGAGTAAGCAATCTTGTCTAACACAGGTCTTCACTTGGAAAGTCTGTGAGCTGTCCTCCAAGCACGATCTTACAGTTTACTCCACTATAAAAATTCCGTATGATGTTGGCTATCTTCTCGGGCATGCCATAGTGTCACCCTGTTCACGCAATCAAATGCTTTCTCAAGGAAGTTGACGTATATCGATCCTTACGGAATCTGGCCTGCTGGTCTCGAAGTTGGGTGTCTAGTGATTCTTTTATTCGGTTTAAAAACACTCTGTTGAAGACTTTTGCGGGTACTGAAAGTAGAGTGGTGCCCTTGTGGTTCTCACACTTGCTAAGATCTCCTTTCTTTGGTATCTTGATGAGATGTCCTTTTCAGCCTATTGACACTTGTTTTTCCTTCCAAATCTTGTTGAATAGAGCGTGGAGTATTTTTTCAGTTACTGTTTTCTGCTCTTAGTGCCCCAACTGGTATGTCGTCTGATGTTTCTACATTGCTGCTCTTCATTTGTCTGATGGTCATACTGATTGCTTCAGTTGTTGGTGGGTGTCAACGTCTATTAGGAGGTCCGTAGGTGCCGATCCGATGTTGGGTGGGTTCAGTGGGATTAGCCTATTCAAGAATTACTTGAAGTGTTCCAGCCACCTGTCTCGCTGTTTTTCAACGTCCATGATTGGTTTGCCTTCATATTCTTCCTTTCTAGAATCTTATCCACAGTATCAACAGAGATCCATACATTGCGATGGTGCTTTTTGCTGCTCAGGAGCTCATGACATACTGAAATTATTGCTCTCTTGGTCTCTTCCCAGTTTTTCACGATGGTAGTTTTCTCTTCACTGCGTACATCGTGAAAGGCCTGGAACTTGTTGCTGAGAGCTCTCTTGAATTCACTGAGTTTGTCAGTATCCCGAAAAAAGGCCTATTAAACTTTTATGATGCTGTTCACCCTGTTGTTCAGTGCTTCTTCAGTTTTAATTTCATCCTGGCTACTACCAAGTGATGATCCGGAGCTACGTCAGCTCTTCTCTTTGTTCTTACATCCTTCATGGTCCTTCCCAACTTTTTATTGATACAGATGTGACCGATTTGGTATTGTGTGGTGTTATCCGGTGAAACCTATGTAGCTGTGCATATGCATTTGTGTGGAAAAATGGTGCTACGTATGACCATTTTGTTGAAGGTATGTAGGTTTGCCAGTCTCCTACCGTTTTCGTTCCTTCCTCCCAATTCTTACAGTCTCCCACATTGTGCGAACATTCCATTTATCTATAATAATGGTTTTTCTGGTTGTAAGAAGGGATATCGACCTCATAACCCTAAAAAAATCGGCTTTCATCATGTGTCATAACTCTCCTAAATGACGACCTTAGAACTCCCATGACAAAGCTTAAACGGTTAGAATTATTTGTCCTGGTTAGCGTTTTCTTTGGCAAGTTGGTTTTCTATGGGACGTGGTCCCTAACTCCATGCCCAGGCCTCCTTTACCTATGCTTCGGACTGGCAGTAACCCCAGAACGGCTTCAGACAAATTTTCAGACGACACAATATAAGTGCGAAACGAAAACGACTTGACCATCGTCCTTGATTTACCCGACCGTTGCTGCTACATTGACGTGGTGGTCGGACTAGCCCATTGTGATGACCCAACTGAGCTATATTGACTGGAACATATATTTCTGAAGGTTCTATCATGCCAGACAGGTCGATTGGAGAACGATGAGAATAAAAGCAGATACTCAAGGTCTGAGGGCGAAGTCGGGCTGCTGACTGTAGAGGGACTGTAGAGGGGTGTGACAGCAGTAAGGTGTTTCCCTCGGACAACCAGCATCTGCAGCGATGCTGCCATCTCACAAGGAAGGAAGGGTTAGAAAAGGTCGACCCTAAAATGTCACACCTCACCCTACCTCACGGATTTTCGTCTCCAGCGGTAAGAGTGCCCACTACGGGCTTTCAAGGGGACATTGTGTCAAATAGGGCAACAGGCTTCATTGGCTAGGACTTCAGAATCTCGCTTAATCGATGTGTGCTGCATCTCGGAAACGCGCATACAGGATCCGAGTAGCATCATTCAATTGACCTTGCCATGTCAAGATAAAGCAACTCGATTTACCCTTCGTGTATCTGGTAGCCCTGATGCTGCTTCCCGGGTCTCGCTGGTGTAGGTATAGCATTGAGTCGTAGGGCAGAACAATCTCTCGTTGAGTGGATCCCTGTAGATAGTCGCTTGTGCGCCGTCCGACTAAACCGGACAGTAAGGATTCGAATGGATAGGGACACTCATCGTTGCCTCTTCGTCATATCAGCCTACGCCCACACTGACTGCAGTCCAGACGATGTAAAAGATGAGTTTTACAGAAAGCTTTCGGACCTCCTCTAAAAAGTTAAGCGCTCTGATATAGTAATAATGACTGGTGACTTCAATGCTCAAGTAGGTAAACTAAGTGAGCAGGAGAGACACCTATGTGGATGTTATGGTGTCGCGGCTCAAAGAACAGAAAATGGCGACCGGCTGTTTCAACTATGTTCAGATAACCGCCTATTTCTAGCAAACACTAACTTTAGGCATAAAGAAAAACATCTGTTGACCTGGCGACCTCCAAAGTCGTCTCAACGTTGGACGCAACTAGATCGTATCGCCATAAGCCACCGATGGAGGGGTTCGATAGAGGACTGCCGCTTATTCTGGGGAACAAGTTTTGATTCAAATCATGCCCTAGTGCGAGCGCGTAATTGTTTGAGGTTTACTGGACGTAGGAAAGACAGCGTAAGGAAGCCTCTTAAGTTTTTAATTAATGATAATAAAAGCTAAGAAAATATTTCAGGAGGAACTAGAAAAACAGTTAGGCGACCATGCAAGTGATTCCCATCCAGATGCAGGTTGGAATGATATCAAGAAGGCTGTGGAAACAGCAGTGATATCTGCTAGGATGAAGCCGTGGATCTCAGTAGCATCTACCGAACTGATGGATGCTCGAAAACGCATCCCACCTGACTCTGAACATGATGAAGTGCGTAGTCAGCTTAGGCGCAGACTGATAAAAAGCCTACGTAACGACCGTAAACAGTGGTGGAAAAGGCAGCCACACTTCGGTTGCCCACGATCCCCAGTCATCCTGAATGGCAAATCGATTTAAGTCCTCCCAGTCTACATGAAGTTGAGAAAGCTATAGGAAATCTAAAGTGAGGGCTAGCAGCAGGTCCTGATAGACTGACCCCTGAGATGTTTAAGGATGGTGGTCCAGTTTTAGCAACTAGGTTGACTGAGATCCTAGGTAGAATCTGGGAACTGGACGTAATCCTATCCGACTGGTCTCAGTCGCTAATTGTCCCAATCTATAAGGAAGGACAGAAGTCTTCTTGTGACAATCACAGGGGAATCAGTCTAACTAACATAGTATCTAAAATATTGGCCTCAATAATACTTCGGCGCCTAACGAAAGCTCGTGAAGAGCAGACTAGAGAAAACCAGGCTGGTTTTCGACCTGGACGTGATTGTATAGACCATATCTTCACACTACGACAGGTCCTGGAACACAGACACACATCTAGACGTCCGACAATAGTCGTGTTCCTGGACCTTAAGGCGGCATTCTACTCAGTGGATCGTGAGGTTCTGCGGCAGTGACTGTCATTGAAAGGTGTACCAAAGAAGTACATTAACCTTATACAAGCACTCTACTCGAACACTAAGATGATGTCTCCGAAAAAGTTAAACAAGAATGGAGAGAATGGAGAGCCCTGACGGCCGCTCTCACTCGACCAGTAGAGTTAACATTAAGCTCGTCAGATTTTTCAGGGGTTTACCTTCTACCAGGAAAATCGCTTACTGATCTAAAATATGCCGATGACAGAGTTCTATTCGGCGAAGACGCCGACAAAATGCTGAGTCTTCTGACTACTCTAAGCAACAATGCAAGCATGTTCGGGATGCGGTTTTCTCCATCGAAATGCAAAATGTTGCTTCAAGATTGGGTTGCATCGGTACCTGAACTAGTGATAGGGTATGAAGTAGTCGAGCGTGTGGACCGCTTCACTTATCTGGGAAGTCTCACCAGCGCTAATAGCCTGGTGACTGACGAAATCTCAACTCGGATATG